GTTTAAGATGCTGTGTGATGGTTTGTGTGTGTTTGTAAGTGAAAGGGAAAGAGAAATAAGGCAGACAGTGTATTATTTATAGTGTGTTTTAGTGTGTGTGTGTGTGTGTGTGTGTGTGTGTGTGTGTGTATTGAAGGGAGGTGGGTATAGAGATGTGTAAGTGGGTGGTTGGTGGGTGTGCTGGTGTGGTTTGCTCCTTCTTTCCTATCAAAAACCTATCAGCCTTATCTCCCCTCCTTGTTTTTAGTGTTCGTTACTCTCTTGTAACAGTAAAACCTTAATCTTCCGCACATATATGACCTAATTGTGTTGCAAGTGCCGTAAAACACTTACTAAAAAAAACTAAAAAGAGGTATGTAAAATGTTTGCTTTTTTTTGGTGACCACCAACAGGCAGCTGGGAACTAACCTGGTCATCCCAGGTGGAGCCAGAACCATCGATGCCCGCGGCAAATATGTCTTCCCAGGTGAGCTCCCTTCTACCCCCATCCTTTTTCCTTTTGTTCTAGATTAAAAGAGAATCGCAGGGAATTGCCAGTCTTTGCTCCTTCTTTCCTGTGATACATCTATCTATCTTCCTGATCTCTCCTTCTTTTTTGTTTTTCACTCTTTAGTAGCTGTTACAATTTTCAAAACATTTACGTGCTACAGGAATTGCTATGAACATGCAACCAACTTGTATTTCACTCCATCATATGAGATGTTATGCAGTTGCAAGGGCCGTAAAACTCTTTCTAAATATATATTATAAATATATAAATCTACGTATATGCCTTAATTGTGTTGCAAGTGCCATAAAACACTAAGACAAAAAAAACCTGTCATCAGTATCTAGCCTCTCTCTCTTTCCTTCTTTATTTTTCGTATGTTACTCTCTAGCATCCCCTCTAATCTTCGGCACTTGTATGACGTAATTGTGTTTGATAGGTCAGTAAAACCATTTTAGATTATAATGAAATTATTGACCTTTCAACGTCCCAGTGGGTGGTTGGCGGCTGCTCTTGTGTGGTTTGCTCCTTCTTTCCTATCAAACATCTATTGTCCTTCTTTCCTTTCAAACACCTATTGTCTTGATCTCTCCTTCTTCTTTTAATTTTTGTGTTTGTTACTCTCTTGTAACAGCTAATCTTTGGCACTTATATGACTTTATTGTGTTGCAAATGCCGTACAACTCTTACGAAAACTAAACTCTCTTGTAACACCTCTAATCTTTGGCACTTATATGACCTTATTATGTTGCAAGTGCAGTAAAACTCAGTCGAAAAACTAAACACCCCCTCCTCCCCCTCCTCCTCTCTCCCCTCAGGCGGCATCGACACCAACACCCACTTTCAGCTGCCTCTCAACGGCACCACGGCGGCGGACGACTTTTACAGCGGAACCAAGGCCGCTCTGGCTGGGGGCACCACCATGATCAGTGAGTCACCTGTCCTTAGGTTACTTATATATTTACATTCTCACCCACTGACTGAAGTGTCTTTAGGCCCTTCCCAAAGTGGGGACATTTCTTGTTCTAGTGCACAGGGCTTCTAACAATGTCATGCTCATAACTGTGCCTGAACTACACAGGGAACTGCTGCTTTTTCTTTCCTAATCCTTACTATCATCATTTTTTTCTACTTCTTTTGTATGTTTGTCTCACTCTTGTGACCCGCTATTTCCGGGGTGCCTTGATAGTCGATGCAGACTTTGTGTTGTTGAAGCTAGAGAGGTGAGCAGAGTAAGTCTGATTCCCTGTAAGGACTTCTCTGTTGACATCCACCTCTTAGCGCTCGTATGACCTTATGCAGTTGCGAGCGCCATAAAACCTCTACAACATTTTTTTTTTTTTAAAGTTACATTCTGTCATGTTACATTACTTTCAACAGTAACGGGTTCTAAACTGTGAACGTCCAAAATGGCAGTGGGTGGATGGATCAGGTTGATCAATCTTTTGTCTTCCCAGGCCACTGTTCACATACTATAATATAAGCCTCTTCCAAAAAGCTTCACACACACTTTCTTTTTTTCACATACCCCCAGGCCTTAAAAAGCTTCATACACACATACACACACACACACTCAACACAGCACGACTACTTTAGCCCCCCCCCCTCCCATG